TTACTCAATTTTCCTTCAAAATGTTATTTAATTACTTAAATCTCTATAATCTTTTTTTATTTATTTCCTATTTAATTCTTCCTTGGATAACTTTATTTATGTTCTTAGTTAATTTTCAATCTTCACTATTATTTTTTAGAGAGCTTCACTAATATACCCAAAATAGAGGCTGAAATTATAAATATACTAGCCCCTTGACACATGTTTATGCATGTGCCAATTGGTTTTCTTTTTTATTTTAGAATTAAGAAAAAATAACATGGGTAGTTATATTCTATAAAAGTAGGATCTATTATCTGATGTTATTTTTAATTTTAATTTTTTTAATATGAAAAATGTGAATTTGCCATATTATCCTTATTTAATTAATAATTTTAATTCTTAGTGTTTGAATTAACCAATGACATTTTCTGGTATTTTGAATGTTTCACTATTCTCTGCCTTTAAATTTTAATTTTTTTATTATGAAAAATGAGAATTTACCATATTATCCTCATTTAATTAATAATTTCACTTTTTAATGTTTGAATTAACCAAGGCCATTTTCTGGTATTTTGAATGTTTCACCATACTTTGTCTTTTGCTTTATATATATAGATAAACCCCTACATGGAATGCACTTTATATTCACACCCAAAACCCATTTACTACATAAGATATTGGTGTTGAAGTTCCTATAAATTACATGACTGCCACTGATCAACTTAAAAAGAGCCCAAAACAAAAAAACTAGCCTAACCCAATTTTATAGAATATAAAAAAAGCCAGAACAATTCATTACAAAGAAAACATCTCGAAAACTGTAGATTCATTAACGCGTCATGTTGATTAATGGCTGTAATGTTTCACACCTTTACTGTCATGTTGATTAATGGATGTAATGTTCTAGTCTAGGATAATAACACTGCGAGTTTCCTATGACATCCTATTTCTAATGCATGTCTACCCGTATAATGTTCCAATCTAAGGTAATAACACTGCTAATTTTCTATGACATCTTGTTTCTAATGCATGTCTACCCCTGTAATGTTCCAGTATATGGTAATAGCACTGCTAGTTTCCTATGACATCCTAATTCTAATGCATGTCAACCCCTGTAATGTTCTAGTCTAGGGTAATAATACTGCTAGTTTTCTATGACATCCTATTTCTAATGCATGTCTGCCCCTGTAATATTCAAGTATATGGTAATAACACTGCTAGTTTACTGTCATGTTGATTGTCTATCATGTTGCTATTTATAATGCATGTCTACTAAAGAAAGGATGAAGAAAGAACAAACCAGACCAACTCAAAATAAGCCGAGCTCAGATTTTAAATAAATAAATAAAAACTGAAACAATTTATTTTTAAAAAAAAATCACGAAAACCAAGTAGGGGCTCTTCAAAGAAATACATTGTTAATACTATGTCATAGAAGTACATTATCAATACTATGTCAAAAGTACATTGTTAATACTATGTCAGATGTACATTGTTAATAATATGTCATTGAACTATCTTGTTAATACTACTATGTCATAGAAGTACATTATTAATACTTTGTCATAGAAAGTGCATTGTTAATACTCTGTCATAGAACTATATTATTAATACTCTGTCATAGAAGTACATTGCTAAACAAAAATGAAATCCATAACTGAAATAGCAACAAAAGATAAATCGATCATCAAATCTTAAAATATATTATGAAAATCAACTAAAATCCAAAGACAAACACATAATCGAAGCAAATAAGCCTTTTGAAAATCTTAAAACTGAACATGATGGTTTGGTTTGGGGTTAGGCCAAAACCAACCCATTTGGCATGTGCATGGTTTCATGTGGGCCCATTAAACCAGGTTGTGTGTGGAACCCACCACACCCTTAGGCAATTGTTTCCCTCTCCTCCAATTGTAATGTAAAAATTGGTCGAGATTGGTTCCGCTTAGAATCATTTTAATGTATACTAGCCTCTTCACACGCGCTTTCGCGTGTGCGAGATGCTTTTTTTAAAAAAATTTAAATTTAGGGTAAACTACAGTAAATCCCCAACCTATAGGGTAATTTACGAGTCCATACCCGATTTTGGGGACATTTATGGGTACATACTCAACGTCGCAAAAAACCTATAAATTGCCCCCTCCGTTAGCGAAACTGTTAGTCAGTCTGTTAAATGCTGACGTGTCAAAAATGGGACCCTTTTTCTGATGACATGGACTTCCACGTGGATAAAAAATGAATAAAAAATTATTTTAGAATTATTTTAAAAAATCTCTCTCTCTCTCTCTCTCTCTTCCTCCATAGCCTCTACCACCAAACCCTCCTCCGTCTGATCCACCTGTACCACCAAACCTAAACCCAACAACCACGCCTCCCCCAACCACAAACCGTGGAGCTGCTCCTTGCCGATTCAAACTCCGACGTTGACGTCGCATACTACCAAGACAAGGGGTCTTCAACTTCCAAGCCTAAGGGCTCGCATCGTCCACAGCTACCGAAATTTCGCCGACGAGGAAGCTGGAAAATCTCCAGCCACTGCCATCCTCGAAAATATCCAGGAGTTGCCATTCACTCGATGCCGAAAGCTGACGACGAAGCACCGGAGAAAATGGAGGTCGCGACCAAGCTAGATCGAGGGCTTTCCCGATGTTTTCTTATGAAAATTCAAAACAGAAGAGTGCCTAATAAGACAAGTTATTTACAATTAGTGGAGAATTTCTTCAATGAAATTAAACCCATATGCTGGATTGTGGCAAATTGCCATGGAAAAGTAGGTGAACCCTCAGCTGTAGATTCCGAAATTGCTCCTAAACTAGTTCCCTACCAACCAAAGATATGTTTCTGCTGTTTGAGAATTATTCTCTTTCTAGGCAAAGTTGATTGTGCGATGGTGGTTTAATTTTGAGGTATTGGAATCTTATAGGAGGGGGGAGAAAGAGAGTTGGGTTTGGGCGTCATCAATGGGAGTGGGGTGGTTGAGAGGTGGGGTTGAGTCGGGAGGGAGAGAGGATTGGCGTGGAGATGGCTGGGTGGTTCTTTGGGCGGCAACGGGAGAGTGGTGGTTGAGAGGTCGGGTTGAATTAGGAAGGAGAGAGGGTTGGCTGGAGAAGAGAGATGGGAATTTTTTTAAAATTTTTTTTAAAATTTTTTAATGCTTTTAATATGATTTAAACAGTAAACTAATTTTTATTAATTTTTGATCCACATGGAAGTCCACGTCATCAGAAAAAATGGTCCCATTTTTGACACATCAGCATTTAACAGATTGACTAACAATTTCGCTAACGGAAGGGGCAATCTGTAGGTTTTCCGCGACGTTGAGTATGTACCCACAAATGTCCCCAAAATCGGGTATGGACTTGTAAATGACCCTATAGGTTGGGGGGGTTTACTGTAGTTTACCCTTAAATTTATTTTAGAATTAAAAAAGATAATGGGTAGTGTTCCATAAAAATAGGATCTATTATTTGATTTTTCTTTTAATTCTAATTTTTTTAAGGGGTTTTTGTAGAAATGTCACCTGAACTTATACATCAGTTTCAATTTGTCACCTTAAAAAAAATTTTAAGTGAAATGTCACCTCAAGTTTTCAAAATTCATAATTTGTCACCAGAATTTAACGTCATCCAATTTTCCATCCATTTAAAAGGATATTTTAGTCTTTCCAATATGTAAACCTCTCTGAAGCAATTTTTTCACAAAAAAAAAAAAAAAAAAAAAAAAAAAAGAGTCAAGAATAGTACTTTTACGCCTAAACAACAGTTAGACTTTAGGGTTTCAAAATTTTTTTTAAGGCATATCTGCAAGTTGTCAGCGCCATTGGGATTGATGGCTGCTCTACGCTACAGAGTCACTGGGAACCCTCCAAACTACGGTAAAGCTTTTGCTTTCTACTTGGGAATCTCTGAAGTTTTTGCTTTTTATATGACAACGGGAGATTTGATTCATGGGATCCTTTTTTCTTTCTTTATGTTCTTTGGCTTTATTTATATGCCAAGAAGAATAACGTATGGAAACCATAAAGCACTTAGGTTTAATTGGTCTCGGTACCATGCAAAGTTTATTTTACAAACAGATAAAAATTGGGATTATGTTTTGAAGTGCTGTAGCTTTGTGGCCTCGATACAAGTTGTAGACTTGGTCACGTTTTGAACCTATTTTGTGAACTCATTTTTGCTACTTTTGTTTTGTATATCAATTTCCAGATAATGTCTTTTATAAATTTCTTTCTCAAATTTGAATTAGTACCTATGATTATTTCCCTAAAAAAAATTGAAACCATAAAATTTGAGTGTTAAAAGTCTTGCTTTTGGGGTTTTAACTCCTTTTTCTTCACCAAAAAATGAGCTTCAAAGAGGGTTTACATAGCTTTATATTTAAATCATTTTAATAAATAAATAAATAAATAAAGAGGGTTTACATATTGGAAGGACTAAAATACCCTTTAAAAATGGATGGAAAATTGGATGACGTTAAAGTCAGGTGACAAATCATGGATTTTGAAAACTTAAGGTGACATTTCACTTAAATTTTTTTTTAAGGTGACAAATTGAAACTGATGTATAAGTTCAGGTGACATTTCTACAAAAATCCCTTTTTTTAAATATGAAAAAGTGTGAACTTACCATATTATCCTCATTTAATTAATAATTTCAATTCTTAATGTTTGCATTAATCAAGGGTATTTTCTGGTATTTTAAATGTTTTGTCATTCTCTGCGTTTTTTACGTTATATATATATATATATATAAATATAATCGGTCTCGTGTTTGATTTTTTATTTTTTATTATTACAAGCAATATTGGGAAAATGATTATTTGAACACTGATGTCCCAAAAAATAATAAATAATAAAAACAGAGAACTTCATGTGCATGGATAATTACTCTTAACCAATTGAGTTACAACCTCCTTGTAGTTTTGAAAATCTTAAAACTGAACATGGCAGTTCGGTTTGTGGGTTAGGCCAAAAACCAGCCCGTCCGACCTGTGCCTAACCTTAGTTTTACGTTTCTGAATTTAGATCTTCCCATTAGAGACGCTGGCCTGTGTGCAATATCAGTGGGGGTAAAAGTTGGTATTGGTAACAGTACATGACAACAATATTGTTTTTCTCCTGCACATTACACAAATTGGAGGATAGAGGGTTAACTCGTCTTTGGTACAAAATGCACTCCAATTGTTCTTTCCTTTAGATTCAAGCATCAAAACAAAAGAAAACTGCAAGACCATGATCTAAATTTCTATCATAGACGAAAAAATATATCAGAATATTCCATCTCTCAGAAGCGAAAGACAAATGGAAATATAACTGTCTGCTCCCAATCTTTGACCGTTTGAATTTAGAAAGATATCAAGTAGCCTCAATCCGTTTGTTGCAACAGGAAGTGGAAGTCCGATCTTTGTTGGAGGATGGCTGGCGGATTCATATCAGATAGGCTGATATCATCAAAGGATCTGCACATCTCTTCAATAGAGAAAGGTATGCTGCAAACCAATTTTGCAACGCTATCTTCAGTTAATTTTTACCATGCTATAGAGTCGGGGCTGAATTCAATACATTACCAGGTTTAGAAGTTAATGACTAGAATATTACCTGGAATCAGCGTCGAGCAGGAAAGAATTATTGGGCATGTTGATTGAATCCTCTGCCATCAACACTCTCATTTTGCCAATAACCTAATGCAACAAATCCCCGGAAAGAGAAACAATGGGATACATAGTTAACTGCGTATTCTAACATGCTCATTACAAATCAATTTACTGAACACTCACTTCTGCAGATAATCCCTGCGCTCCATATTTGTCGTCCCAGAACATTGTTCCAATGCGATATATTTGAGGGATGCTCAGTATCTGATTAATGAAGTGTAAACTAAATTAACAGGAAGTCCTAGGTTCATTATATTGGAATTCTTTGATCATATTCCTTGTTCTCTTTCTGAAATAATGTTACAAAAGTTTGGCCAAAGAAAAAAAAGAACTTTTGCAGAATGGATTCAATCTCCAAAATGAAAATAAAAGATTAAAAAAAGTGAAGAGGAGAACTAAAATAAAGAATTTCTTTCATATGATATAAGACTGGTGGAGTTACCGGACACAATTCATTTGTGATTTCATCCACTGATTTCTGAGTTTTTTGGTGTAAAACCTGCATGTATGAAGAATACTTTCATAAAGCAATGTAAATTCCTTCACGTAATTATTTAAGAAAATAACAACGGAATATTGGCTTGGTAATGTAAGCTCAAGAAACAAACCAAAAATCCTACAGCCTGCCTTATGTGTTGAAGCTCTTCCAAGGACGATCCAGCAAACTGTAAAAGTAGAAAAGTAATAAATAAGTAAATAATTTTTCCTCATTTCCTCCTTATATTATTTTGTCAGCATTTGTTAGACCACAGACAGTTTTCTTGCCTGATCTGTTACTTTGAGACACCATTGTTCCAATTCAAGCAAACCTGCTTTCAGAAATTCTCCATTGCTAAATGAGCAGCACTCACGACGAAGCAATAAGCTGCCACCAAGGATTTATTAAATTCATTAGGACTAATGATGCATTGTAGCTAAACTTTGATCCTAGTCAATTTGTTAAAGCAAGGAGTGGATATCAAACTCTGTTTACCTGTTAAAGAGCTGGACATTGATGAATGAGAAAACTTGACTGAAGATTTTCCTTGCGATCATGGGAGAGACCTGAAGTTACAGCAGTTAACTCTAGAAATTCTATATACTGATTTATATAATAGATGGATAAGAATCTTGAAAATTAAATTAAATTTAAGCTTACATGGTTCACAGACAAAATACCCAAGGTTTGATCTAACTTGTTGACAGTGCTTTGCCAGTGCATATTTGATGCCTGTTGTCTTGCTCTTATGTTTGAATGTATAGTTTTAGATGAGCCTCTTATCGACCTGCCCCTTGCAGATCTTGGTGCCTGTTGATGTTAAATAAGAACTTTTTCATGGTTCAATCTGTCATGTCATATTCTCGGTTATACAAGATGCTCACCTGAATGCACAAATTCAAGAATGGGCTAATCTCTTTCTTTAGACTATCACGGATGGTCCCATATATTTTCTCAACAAATGCAGTTAGATGTTGCTTGAACAATAATGCTGGGTACTTAGCCTCCACTTTTAATTGCTCATTTGGCTTGCCCATCGTTCCACTGTAGCCACTTGAAACTCCCGTGCTCATAGAAGATGAACGAAAACCCTGGCATAGTATTTCTTGCATTACTGTGTCACATGGTTTTCAATATGCTAAAAAATTTGTACGTGAAAGCTTACATGTGCCATTCTACCAAATATGGTAGCAGGAGTTCGGTTACGATATGAAGCTGTATTAGATGCACTGGCTGCCTTGAGCGTACTTTGTAGAAGAAATAGAAGGGTAGAAGTTGTTGAAAGCCAATATGCCAGATCACTGACATTGTTTTGAGTCTTCAAGAACATTTCACATTTCATATTGAGTTAATCAAATAGTATAAATACCCCATCCAACTGGTCAAGCTTAATGCATGTTGGTTGAAGGTTAATACCTCTATAATGGACCGAATTTTGTGAATGATCCTATCAAATACGTTTGTTTTCTCTGCTTCAAAGGTTCTCCACTGAAGAAGTGCTCTGTACACAATACAGGCAGTGACAGGCCTGTTCTTGTCAAATTGCCTATCTTCCATAAGACACTTAACAAGCACGTCAACACTTTCCTGTTTATAGTTGTAGTGAGTTATGGAAGAAGCTTTTTAAAATAATAATAATAATCTCAACTTTATAAATACCTGCTGCCTATCTGTGAGTGATCTTTGTCTACTAAGGTGAGACACTACAGGATCTGGCTCCTGAAAACATAATTTCATTATAGGTTGATGATAAGTTTATAACAGATGATAATTAAAGTATCTTATGATTATTTGAAATATTTCTGACAATAATTTATTCTGGAAAGTTGGTAATACTTTGGTCCGAAGCTCTTCCCTTTTCCCGTTCCCATTCTCAAAAGGCTGTACCATCATAGAATGTCAAAGGAAGTAATTTTACCGAAAAAGAAGATGAAAGAAGAAAAGTTTATTTTTTATCTTTTGGTATGGGAAGAAAAAGGTTATGCAAAGCACTATACCTTTACTTGTGGCTGAAACCTCTCTGGAGTAGCTTTCTGCTCCATGACTAGAGTCTTGTTGCGGAGGAATTTATTCTCTGACTCCAAATCTGCGATCTTCCTCTTCAGGCTGGACAAACATGAATACTTAGCTTGTACTCAATGGGTAGTTGGATATCTTTGTAACTTTGATGAAGTAATATTCCAGTTGAATATCCATTTATTTGGTGCTTCTACCATAATAAGCAGCTGTTTATGAGTATGATTCATTTATAGGTCAAATTGTTCATATTTAGATTGAGCAACCATAATGAACTCAGTAGCTACGATAGAGCAACCACTTGTATTTTTCTTCCATATCTCCAAAACTGTTGTTCAAGCATAAGATAGTAAAAATAGGTTTCTAAGATTCCACCTATCAATGAAGTGAAAACTTTTACTAGATTGCACATTCTTACATTCTCATTTCTTCAGAGAAGTCCTCATTTGCTGATGCAACCAGAGCCTGTTGGCGGAGCACCTGATTTTCAGATTCGAGACTGGACAAGTTCAACTCTAACCTGATTAAGAAACAAGAGTTAGTCAACCCCAGTTTATGTTGATAGAGACATTCATGAAATTCCTTAGCGTTGATAACAAAAATAAAAAAGCAAATATATGGGACTACCTTTCAATAGTTTCTTGAAGCTGTCTTGCTTTCAGCTGTGCTTCTTCTGCCTCTTTATGCCTTGCTTTACTTTCTTTTTCAACTTGAGAGTAATTTTCTTCAAATCCCTCAATTTCCTTCTTCAGCTCACTTAGCTCACCCTAACATTCATACCAATAATCAATATAACACGTGCACATGCACCACACATGCACCCACTACATATGCTTTCTGTTCTTTTAATGCCTCTCTCTATCTATCTATCTATTGATTTATCTTATTTATTTATCTTTTCGTTGTACACCACTCTTTGGACCAAAAAGACGACATTGTTAGACATTTTACGAAAGAACCACACTGTTAGACATGAGCCCACAGGCTTAATTTTGGGCTTCTAAAAAAGATGTCCCTTCAAACCTAGTTGTTTCTACTGTATGAATATTTCACAGGAATAGTTCATATATTCTTAATTCCACGATATACAATGGTTTGATAATTTTATTCTAGAGTTTATCATTCAGTTTATGTGAAATGCATCTTTGGAAGCTAAGGTGTACCGCATTACCTCTAGTTTCTCATTGTGATTTTTCAGAATTTCTAGCTTGGTGTTGTCCACAACTGGCACCTCTTTGATGACTGGTGGAGCTTGTTCAATAGCTAATTTTGCTGCTTCTTTCTCATGGATAATTGCGGCATGGGCTTCATCAATTTGTGTTTGCATTTCATGCAAAGTATTTTGCAAATTTGCAATTTCTTTCCCTTTATTTTCTTCAAGATCAATCTGCAAGTTGTTTGTAAATTATGATCAACTTTATATCCTCAGTGTCAAGGTTTGACATTTCTCCAACCATTCCCTTGACTGGAAAATTTCAAACTCAACATGACTAGAGATACTTCTATAAAAATGACCCAAGTTACTGAAACCAAATAAATCATACCAAAACAATTGCAATACCATGGGTGTTCTTCATCTTATCAATTAGTATTTTCTAAATATTAATGTATCAAAATTTTAGTGCCAAATAGAACTAAGAGGCAGATATATTAGTGTATAAGCTGTGAGCTAAGTAAAGTTAAAGTAAATAAGCCTTGTTTTAAATTGTGTATTCACTTAGTCTTAGATTATGACAAGTGTAAGGCTGAGATTGTATTGTTG